ATATATATATATATATATATATATATATAAAATATTAATCGGCTTATATATTAAAAACGTGTGGTGTGAACAAACTTTACATTTATATCTAAGGCCCGTCTACAAAATGGAGTAAATCAGATGTAAAATACTAACTAATAAAGTGACTAGCCAATTATAATTCTAGAAGGGGAGTAGGATCCTAGTTAATATAATTGGTAATATCAATTAATCGGTAAAATCATCAATCAGGAATCATAGTCGATAATCTGCAGCCTGATACGGATTTTATGCGCAGCCACAAAAAACATGTTACAATTAGAGTTATATATATTTATTATTTCTAGAAAAACAAATTACACATTAGTCAACAGATAATCTATGTGTTACTCCCTAGTACTGACATGTTCGATATACAAAAGTTATTACTTTGAGAGTCACTTTTACCAACTTCAGTTAATTTAATTGACTGATTATTCCATTGAAACTGACTAATTGTATTTATTGTTAAATTTATGAACAAATTACGATTGATCAATTCCAATAGAACAATTGGCCGATCTACGATAGGAACCATAGACACAGTCTCCACTTAATGTTTCTTCCACCTTCTTCCATTAGAGAGAGAGAGAAAAAATCAAATGTTGTTTCTTCTCACTCGCAATCTATCTTCTATTTCGCTTATGCCTGGTATATAGGCTGCGTTTCGATATTCACTGCCAATACTGAAAATATAGTTCAGGTGACGTATATTATAGATTTTCAGTACTGGCAGTAAATTTCGAAACGTAGTCATAGCATGTTCGGTCTATCTACACTATGTCTATAGAATAATCGATCGATTAGTCCCGATCTACAATAGATGATTTAAGTCTTAAGAATCGGCAGAAGTGACGGATTAACTCCGACTTGATCTAAAATGATTATCTATTTTTTATTTACAATGCAAATATGTATCTGTACTCAATTATATTTTGTCTTATAGAAACGATGTTTCGTCATGAAACTTTGTTAAGATAATTTCTTTTACAATTACGAAACTACCTACAGAGCCAATTTTGCAATTTAGCTCTTAAATAATTAAAATAAATGTAACTATCTTCTCTGTATGTATAGTGCAGATATATATTTGAATATACCCATATATTATCTCGTAGAAGCAATATTCATGAATCTTTTTCTACGTATTTTTTATAAAATTATGATTATACTCTTGCTATAGAGCCGGTTTTGCAATTTGGCTCTTAAAAAAAAATTTACAATAGATGAAAATATTTGCACCTTATTGCGCCTATCCTATAGCGCAAATTTATTTACGCATAAATGAATTATTTATTTTCACACATTTTCTTACAAAAATCATTCTGTAGCTTTCGTCAGGCAAATATTCTGATTATAAATATCATAATTATATAGCTTTTCGCAGCATTTTGGCCGTAATATGAGTGAAAAGGAATTTATCTCCGATAGAAATCCCCATAGTCTCTCCATAGTCTCGATCCTTAAGCCATAAGAAATGGACGAAGAGTCAAAAAATAGAAAAATAATCTATGATTGGTCAATTTCTTACGGCTAAGGCTTAAATCACCTATTGTAGACCGGGACTTAAAGTTATGCCTACGATATTACACACGGTGTCATTTTTCATGTTACTCGCATAAGTCTAGTAAATTACTAGAGTGCATCAATACCACACACAGCATTTTTAGTAATTTATTAGATCGCATGTTAAGTGATATCGGCCTTAAGGTCGATATTCACAATCCGTTTATATGTTAAGACTGTAAGTAAGCTTATATGGCTATCTCATTGGTTAAGAGGTAATTGTAAGACAATTTAAATATAAGAACTGATTATGAACATCGGCCTTAAATTCTAAAAACAACTAGAAAGTTTCACGTGTGGCACGCGTGTGGCAAATATGCGCGCGCATATCCGTCCTCCGTGATTCTAGTACGCTTCTAGTCGCGTCGCGTACTCTTTCGTTCGTGCTGGGTACTCGGCTCGCTTACTTGTGTATGTGACATTTTTTTTCTACGGACCATTCGCGCTGCTGCAACATGTTTACCTGGTTGTGCCGCTCTCATCATGATAACCAGCAGTCCATCGTCGATTCTACAATGATACTTATGTCGCCTTATCGGCAGCATTAATTTCCAGGTATGTGGACCTGCACTCGGGCCGAGTTCCGCGGCACCCCGCCAACGCGAACAGCAAGTCGCGGCGCGCCCTGACGAGAATCTGTTTACGTAGTAATGGCGAACGTACTCCTGGTCGTCGTCGCGCAATGTCTCTTTCTTCGCCTCTCATGCTTTTCTCATCCGGAGCAAAACTACGAGATCAAACTCTATCGAATAGAGCGAGGGAATGAGGAGGGGGGGAGGGAGGCATTACTTTAGAATTTTAGATTTTATTCACGAATCATGGGTATATAGCTGTTAAATAACAGTATTTACCTTTAATTCTAATATTTATAAGAGGAACATTCCGAGTCTCTAGTTAGTAGGATCTATTCAATTTTATTGTTAATGTTCTCTGATGAAATATTTTACTATATAGTGGCTATATAGGTTTGAAGAAATATCCTGTTATCTAAACTCTAATGAGATCTTTCTACTTTGTTTCATGTACTCAATGCTAACTAGAAGTTTAATACTAGAACTTAAATTATAAATTTGTTTTTTAATTTAGTTTTAATTGGCTTTTGTTTTTTGTTAGCTAGAACAATTTCTATAATATTCTTACATAAATTTTTAGCTTTGCAAAGCAAAAACAGAGAGAAAGGTGTCATGGATGATGAGATCCGTCTTGATGGTGAAGAAGAGATGGAGTTGGATGAAGCTTCTGATGGCGAAGACGAAGATGAAGAAGCAACAGGGATCCCTGTATCTCCAGCTAACTCAGATCAATTGCTTGGACAGACAACACCAACAACTTCTGGTAACAGTAGCTATTTTAAACATTTATGATATTTTTTGCTATCTCTTTTTAGAAAAATAAGCAGTATATTGTAGTTGTCATTTATGATGTTTATAAAAATAATACAAAGACATAGGCAAATAAAATAAAAATACTAAAAATTATTGAAAAGAATAATATAAAAGTTATAAAGATTTTTATTTTTTTAAAATAGTATATATATATATATGAAATATAACATTAAGTATGTCTTTATTTATTATTATGTATTTTTATTTTTTTATATTTATTTATCTTTATATTTTTAGTTACACCAGATGAGGCTTTTCATGATTCGTTGCGATATCCAAAGTTTCCATTGCCTGGTGGAAAACCTTTAAATATTCGTCGTGGACCTGGAAGGCCACGAAAAGAAAGACCTTTTGGTATTACTCGTGGAGGAGTTACTAGAAGATCTTTTGGAAGAGGTGGTGCTAGAGGCAAAGGGTTTGTTTTATTAAAATTATTATTTAAATATATATTATTAAATATATTGAATAACATGTTCATGTATGTATATATGATATGTATATATGATATGTATATATAACGATACTATTGTACATTTTTATGATAAGGCATACATGAATTTTATTTTTTTTTATATTTTACTCTTTATATATTTCTCTAGACTTGGATATACAAGGGGTATACCACGTCGCACTAAAAGCAAGGATGATGATACACATTCGGAATCTCCAAGTCCTTTGCGCACCATGGGACTGGATGATACTACTGATGGCAGTGAATTAGTGGGTAATGTAATTGATAGATCGATGCCAGCACCAGAAGAGCCTCCATACTTTCCTGAGCAATGGTAAAATATTTTCTATAATTATCTTGCATGCAAAGTAAATTTATATTTTTAAATAACATTTAAAATGTAAAACGATTTTTTATATTAGATTTAAAATTTAAGCATTTTAAACGATTTAGAAATACAGTTTTAAATATTTTTAGGCCGGGAAAAGTATGTGCGTTATGCAATTTAAGCGAGAGAAGTCAGTTGGGACAAGGTGAACTTTTGCGTCTGACATGTCCATCGGGCTTCACTCCTGAGAAGTCAACGAATCGCGATGAAACAGCTACTGATCATCTCGTCGACGTCACTGTCGCAGGAGATAAAAGTCCGCGTGCTACTGGACCTGGAATTGCTGTTACCTGTCGTAGGCAAAAAAGTCTAGCCAAATGCAGGTAAACTATATCAATTATATAAACTTTAACTAACAAATACTCGTTGCTAATATTTTATTTTGAATTCAAATAATTGTATGCTTTTTGATTATATGTAAATTTTAAAAAAGTACATAAGGATTTATATTTATATGTTATAATTATTTCTTATAGGAATACTAGTCTATCTAATTTCACGGAGCCGGTGGAAGAATTGACAATCGTAGGCTATTTGGAAGAGCCAGAAGTCGGGATTCTATTCGATTCCTCGACCGGCCATTATTATGTTCACCAGTCATGTATTATATGGTCTAGCAACAGTCAAGATTTGGTACCAGAATTGACTTGTCGTGCCGTCCTGCAAGCTTCTTCCAGACGTTGCGCCTATTGCTCGCACTATGGTGCTGGAATTCCCTGCAAAGTAATATATAATATATAATATATTATAATCATCATGGCAAGTTATTGATTTAAAAGATAGGAGTTATCATAATAAGATAGGTTTATAAAATTACATATACGTAATAATAAATACGTAATAATTGTAAAAAATATAAAAGTTCTTTTGCATATTTATGCAATTCAATTGCGATTGTTCAGTTATATTATACTGAATGTGATTTTATAGGTGGCATCGTGCAATCGTTATTTTCATTTTCCATGTGCCGCAGCTAGTAGTTGCTTTCAAGATACTAAGAATCTAGCCCTTTTCTGTAGTCAGCATCTTGGTCAAGTTCCGCTCTTATGTAAGTTTTTCCACTTCTAAACTTTCATTTGATTTTTAGATAAGTAAAAATTAAATGTATATTTTATGTACAAGTAAAAAAAATTAATTTTTCAATATATATAAACTATGTTCATGGATTCAAGAAGTTGTTCATTGCAGACAACTTTTAATCTGATTATTTATATTCTATATTTTTAATTTGTATGTTTTTATAATTTTTGAAATTCTTTTTTGTATTTATAGTAAATGGAGAAGTAACTTGCGTTCAATGTTATGGAATGGGTGATGTTTCAAACTTAGTGATGTGTTCTGTGTGCGGCCAACATTATCACGGTAGTTGCGTGGGTTTAGCATTATTGCCTGGAGTACGTGCTGGATGGCAATGCGTGTCTTGCCGAGTGTGTCAAGTCTGTCGGCAACCTGAGGACGTTTCAAAGGTTTCAGACATTCATAAATAAAAAATAAATAACACATAAATTTTGACTTTATAATATATATTGACTTATTTATGCTAGATTGTAGTCTGATGTATTATTAAGAATATTATTAAATATTTAATAATTTATTAATTTTCTAAAAGATGCATATATTATAAATTTTAATTTATATTATAGAATATAAATATTTAAATTTCAAAAAAGGTACATTCCAATAATATATACAAACATGCCCTTTTTAATGGCTTTTGTAAAGCAAGATTTTTGTAGGTGATGCTATGTGAGCGATGCGATAAGGCTTATCATCCCGGCTGTTTGCGACCAATTGTTACTTCCATTCCAAAATATGGCTGGAAGTGCAAATGTTGTCGAGTGTGCACTGATTGTGGTTCACGTACTCCAGGAGCAGGACTATCTTCCAGGTGGCATTCTCATTATACCGTTTGTGATTCATGCTATCAGCAACGCAATAAAGGGTTTTCTTGTCCACTTTGCAGGAAAGCATATAGGTAGTTGAAATATCTTATGTACTTTACATATCTATATATTTATATATCTTAATTATATATCTTAATTTATTAATATGTTTATATATTTTTATATTTAGGAAATTTTTATAAATAATTATATTTTCAAGTAATTAATATTTTGAAATAATAATATAAATAATAATTGTAATTACAAAAGTGCATTAAAAAATCAAATGACTCAAATAAAATTATTAAATATAATTTCTGAAATTTTTATATAATTTATAATTTTTGTTATAATAATTTATTAGTATCGTTTTATTAATATTATTATTTTGATATGTCATTTCCAATATCTTTATATGATTCAAGATATATAAAGATCTACAATATTTAAAATAATAATTTTTTTTTTATATTTTTTGGGAAGATAATTCTAAACCATTTATAAGTTAATATTATATATTTATGTGTTTTTTTTTTGTAGAGCTGCAGCATATCGCGAGATGGTTCAATGTCATGGATGCAAAAATTCGTGCATGGTACATGCGATCCCGAAGCCGATCCATTGACTTATCAGCAGCGCAAAGAAGCAAAGCCGGATTACGAATACATCTGTTTGCATTGCAAAAGTATTGCTATGGTAGCTAGACGGAAGGACAGCATCGACGAAGGCGACTTAAGCCTGAGTGCTTCTCAAGAAAGTCTTGATGGCGAATCTTCTGAGTTTGATTATCAAGGTGGTGGTTCTGAAGAAGCGCTTTATTCAGTTGGATTAGGAAAAGGGAAACCATTTTGTGCTACAAAAATTGCAAAGAAAAGATTGGGTATTAGCGGGGTTATTGGTAGACCCAAAGGTATTGGAAAAGTGGGCTATCAGAAGAGGCAGAAAATGACGGAATTTGGAAGAAAGAGGGGACCAAAAGGAAAGATGAGAGGAATCTTTGGAGTACCGGAAGTAGGACTGCAGGTATGTGATATGGTTCAAAAAAGTTTGTAATATCGATGTTTACATCGTACTCTGTATATTAATTTTATATTGAATTTTATCATTTGCTTTGACATTAATTAATAGAATTATTTTTCACCAATTGACAAAATTGATTCATTAATGCATTGTGTATTTTTTCTCATTTTTTAAATTTTTTTTATAATTTGTAAATATAATTTTGTATTTAATATATTATCAAATGTTATAAATAATATTTAATATTAGTATGAAAATTGTAATTGATAATTTTTATTAAATTTTGATATAGCATATAAAATGTTAATCATAATTTAAAAATTGTTTTATTTTCATGTTTTTTTTTAAAGAAAAATTAGTTAAAATATTTAATTTTATAATTTCTTATCATAGAACATTTGATGATTTTAAGATATTTCATATGATAAATGTATCTCTAATCTTTCTAATACATAAGTAATAAATTAATTTTTCTTTTTAACACTGCAGGGACCGAATCCAGATTCATCTCAATCAAAAGAAGAAGAACAACTTGGAGAGAATAGATTAATTCTTTGCTCGGCCAAAGATAAATTTGTTCTAACTCAAGATATCTGTGTGATGTGTGGTTCGATTGGCATGGATCAGGAAGGTTGTTTGATTGCATGTGTACAATGTGGTCAATGCTATCATCCATATTGTGCTAACGTCAAAGTCACAAAAATCATCTTGCAAAAGGGTTGGCGATGTCTCGACTGTACTGTTTGCGAAGGTATTGAAAAATTGGAATATATTGTTAAATAATGAAAATTAACATTATAGCAATTTAATTAATTTTTACTATAACTTTTAACTATAATTTTAACGTTATGATAGTGTTATTTAATCTAAAAAAATTAAAATAATCGCACACCCTCCTTTTTTATTCGGGGGCTCGAACCATGCTTGATGCAATCTCTCCTATCGTGCTCCACGAGGATTATTTGTATATTTGCCAATGGCGTTGGAGGGTGTCACCGCTGCAGTCCGACCTGCATCCATCGAGAGAATAGGACCATCATCTCTCTGGAGTACCGGTCATGAGGATTCGAGAAAATACATGTATATATGTATATTATAATATACATATATATGTGTATCATTGTATTGTTGACGTGTTATTCTAAACACGTTATTTGCGATAAATATCATCACATGTCTCGGTAGTCGAAGGGATAAGATGCCTGCCGGTAAGCAGGAGATCCAGGTTCAAGTCCTGGCTGAGGTGATATTTTTTTCGCAAAATAATTACGAGTTTTCACGACTGGTTCGTGGTCGGGCCCCGCCGTGACGCACACCCTCCCTTTTTATTTTATCGGATATTTTAGGATTTATAAAATGTTTCTTTTTTTAAGGCTGTGGTGAACGAAATGATGAAGGTCGCCTGATTCTTTGCGATGACTGTGATATTAGTTATCACATTTATTGTATGGATCCACCTTTAGACTATGTACCGCATGGTACTTGGAAATGCAAATGGTGTGCACAATGCCAAACTTGTGGTTCCAATGATCCCGGATTTAATTCATCTTGGCAGAAAAGTTATACACAGTGTGGACCTTGTGCTTCCCACACTGCTTGTGTAGCTTGTCAAGAAGCTTATCAAGAGGGCGATCTCATTATTCAATGCATACAGTGTGAAAGATGGCTTCACTGTGGTTGTGATTCGATTAAAAGCGAAGCTGAGGCCGAACGCTGTGCTGAGGAAGGTTACGTTTGCCTTCTCTGTCGTCCTAGAGATATTCCTCCTCCTCATCTTCTCTCTAAACCTTCGAAATTTGCTCGGTTGTCTCCTCCACCTCAAAATCGAAATCCGGAATTGTTTAAAGCTTCGTCACAACAATATCTGGTGGAAGGAGTATATCTTTCTGAAGCTGGTATGAATCATATCAAATCCTTAACTGCAGAACATCAGCAAACGAGAAAAAAGAAAAGAAAACAACCTCCGGTGGATAAAGAAGCAGATATCATGGCGACTATTGAATCTGTTGTTGCTGGAGGAAGCTTAGATAATTCTTTAGAAGAAAACAATAAATTAGAACTGATGGATGTCAAAGATGAGCCAGAAACAATATTGAAAGAAGGTATGGTGTGGAACCAACCTGCTCCTGAAGGTTTCAGCATTTGCACTTCGGAAAATGGACTTCCTGTTTTACGAAGAAAACGTCAAAGAAATCTGCAAAAATTAGGAATTGGTGGATTTATTGTAAGATTGAGAACCAGGAAGGATAAAGAAGAAGAAGGAGATGCCGAAAAATCTGGAGAATCTTCAATCGTAGGTATGGATGATAAACCTCGGAGGAAACCTCAGAGAAGAAAGCCGAAGACAAAATTAGCAGAATGTTTCCCTATTTATATGCAAGAAGCTTTTTTTGGCAAGGATTTAATGGATACAACGAAAGAGAAAGATCTTGAAAGTAGCAGCGAATCCGAAGAAGAACATAAAGTTCCTGAAAATGCCAATACAATTCAGTTATCTCAAGATGAATTGAAGGTTATGGAACAAGTTAAAGCAAAACAAGAAAAAGAAGATGAAAAAGTTACTTCTGACCAAATTAAGAGAGAAGAAATTGTAGAAGATGAGAGAAGTGATACTGAAGCACTCGAAGATATTTTACCAATTTCTGGGGATTTATTGGATAGCGATTTAGTAAATACAATAATGAATGAAAATGATGAGGATTTGGCAAAGGCCAGCGAAGCATTGGATGAATTAGACGATGCTCAAGGTGGAAATAAAGATGAATTGACGGATATCCTTAGTCCACATTTTAATTTGGAATCAATGGTCAGAGATACTGGTAAACTTTTAAATAAACATTTATTATATTATAGAAAATATTAGAAAATAATCAGATATATTTTATTAATATTTTGAATTAATAGAACATAAAATATAAATCTATTTATTATAAAATAAAAAATTCAGTATACAAAATTATATTATGATCATTTTTTTTTCAAGGCTTACCTAATATGGATAGTAAAGATATTGAGGAGATATTTAAAGGCGTTCTAACCGATGAATCTCAAGAATCACAGGAATCATCGGTGTTTTCTGTCCAAGCTCAGACTTCACATCCTTCGTCATCCACCACTCCCCTAGTTTCACCTTCTCCTCATCCTAGTAAGTGCAATATCAATAATTAAATAAAAAATTAAAATTATATAAATAATCTATAATGTTAAATTAGAATTTAAATAAAAATAAATTATAATTATTAAAAAATGGAAGGTAATTAAAATTAAATTATTTTTTATAATATTTACTTAATTTATAAATCTAAGTTAGTTTTAAGATATATTTGAATATTTTGATATCAGATTTATAAAGTTGATATTAAAATCTATTTATGCATCTTATATTTTATCTCATTTTAAATTAATTTCTTTATAGATATTCAAGCTGCAATGCCTTTGGCGAGATCTCAAGTACCTAGTGCTCTACCTTCAGTTGGTCAATCAAGCTTAAATTCTCCAATGAGTTTTCCACCTCCTTCACCATATCATTCCGAATACAGCAAGTAAGAATAAATATAATAAGAAAATATTTTAAAATTAATATGTGCATATGTATATATTTTGATATTAATTTTAATTTATAATCATAATATAAACTCTATTTTTTTAATTTTTAGTAGTCCGCAATTCAGTCCAGCATTTTCGGAGCCACCCAGTCCATGGGTAAATCCTGAGGATGAGGGAAATGCGCCATCAGGTAATGCTACCATTTCATACAATCAAAGAACCAGTTTAAAAATGGAGGCTGATGAAGTATTAGGCACTGAAGCGACAATATCCTCGGTTCTTTATGCTAACATGGCGCATCCTGAATGGAAAACTGATTATCCAAGTAAGACTTATTCATTTATTTTAATTATTTTTTTCTATTGTTTCTATTGTTTCTATTGATTTTGCCAAAGTTGATATCAAATATTAAATAAATTATAATATTATTGTTTTAATGAATATTTTTGCTTGACGCAGCATGGGCCGAGAGATGCAAGCAAATCCTAAAGAAATGGCGCGCACTTCCAAATGAACAAAGGGCCCCTTATTTGTCTAAAGCTCGAGACAATCGAGCCACTATTCGTATGAAGAAGACACAACAGGTAATAAACGTATTTAGACATACACAAATATACACATGCACGTACACACATACATACATATTGCAGAAACAAGAGAAAATATGGATTTTAATTACTGTATTTGTTTTTATGCGTTAATTTGTTTAATTAAAATTTATGGCTGAGAGAAGCGCGATACTTTATTGGGATAATTTATATATATAGATGTTCTTTATTGGGATTTTTGTCTTCAAGCGTATCTTGTGCTAACATTTAAGTGAGACTAACAGCTCGACAATTCTGTGTGTCGTAAACTATGATTCTATTGCAAACCAGTTTTTTTACCGTTAGTTTTTAGCGTTATTATTTAACTAAAATGCAATAATATCTTCCACGAAAATTAGATTAAATTCTTAAATCTAAATTGTTTTGATTATAAATTTGAAGAAATTAAATAATACTTGGAAAAATAATAGTTAAAATTATATTAAATAAATTAACTTTTTGTTAAAGTTGGATAAGAGTTGAAGTTTGGATTCCGTATTTATGCATTATAATCCCATTAGAATCATATAAATATAAATTTTATTCTAGATAAATGAATAACATAGAATAATCATTTATTAGAGATAAGATTACGAAAAATATTTATAATATTAAAAATAATTATACTTTTAAAAAATTTTTTTAAATTCAATTAAAGGTAAAAAGAATAGATCTTATAAAAGAGAAAAATCTTGCAATGGAAAATTCTTAATTGAATTTTTGTAATACAAAATATTACAAACTATAATTAAATTTTTATTTGCATCGAGTTTCGGCAATAGAAAATGTTATAAGTCACTATAATAATACAAATAGGCCCCACTTATACTCAAAGATAAGTAGAATTTAACATGAATAGGCCTCTTTATATAGTGGGCCCAAATGAGGTGAAGAGGAACAATTTACAAATTTATTTGATTTTTTATGTTCTAGATATAAAAATTAAGAATAAAAATATTTACGCATATATATAAAATTCTAAGAAAAATAATATTGAATAGGATGTCCCTATAAATTTAATTTATAGATCTGCATGTATTTATATGTGGATCTATAAATTTATCAATTTATTGGATTATTATAATCTCTAATATAATCGATTTGTCAATGTATAGATGAATGAACCCTGCTACCTATTTTTGTCGTTACTTTACATGAATTAGATTTAGATATGTCTCTAAAACTATTACCAATATAAACAATATAGTATTTAGATATATCCAGTAAGAAAAATCCTTGCAAATTCATGAATCTGTATATCCATAAATCCACAAGTCCCGAAGATCCATATGTACTTTGCTTGTATATGTTTCGTGAATATAAAACAGTTAATACATATATAATGTTAATGATTGAAACCTCATATCGAGTGCGACTTATTCTTATGTCGCCTTGTTCGGGCCCATTATATCATTTCTTACATATAGGGTGTTTCTCACGAAGCTATTATCTTAATATTATTCTATTCTCTCTTTAATACATTTAATTATATCTAAAATATTTCGAATTCATCGAGAAAAGTAGAATAAAATTATTAATATGTTAAAGTATAAGAATAAGAAAAAGAAAAATATATATAAAGAAAAGAATCCTATTAGATAATACTCATTTAATTCATATGTACATTCCGATTCTTTTTGTATCTTCTTATGGTTAATTTGATAATTGTCTAAGGAAAATGCAATGACACAATTTGCTTGCAAAATTAAAACCTCCGAGAAACTTCAATTTTTTATAAAAATATGAAAAATTGATACAACATATCTTCTAAAAAAATATATAAATTTATCTACTTATAAATACAATCCAAAAATAAAACAGCATGAAATTTGCTGTTATACAAAGTTGCTTTATGTGAAACACTCTCATATGTATACCGTGTGACTGCGAATCGCCCGGTGTTGATCCGACAGCTCTCCAAGGAGACACCACCACCAAGCACCACCAACACTATCATCACTACCAATATAACCACCAATACCACCACCATCAATATGAACACCACCACCACTACTACCACCGCCATGACTACCATCATCACCAAACCTGCCGCTATGACGGCTCAGCAGCAACAACAGCAGCAGCAAGGGGTGGGTTTGAGGCCCATGGAAAAACAACCAGGAATGTTGATGACCACTGGAATGACATCAACAGGCAACAATCAGCATCAGGAGGTGTGTGGGGTGCAGGGAACCCCGCCCAGCCCTTCTCTCTCTCCCGAGGCTTCCAGAAACCTACAGTCGTCCGCCTTGCAATCTTGCACAACACCAGCTTCTTCGTCCTCTTTATCTTCTTCTACATCTTCCTCTTCTTTTTCTCATTGCAACAATTCGGGTGAAGGGCAACAAACCCTCCAACAACGTCCATCCCCGATTGTCGTTAACAGCGGCAGTGGCAGCAGTAGCATAGATCAGCATCAGATCCGAGTGCTCACTCCGTCCGAGATCATGCGTACCCTTCCGTCCCTCAGCCAGGAGCACTACGACCCCCCACCTCCGCCACCACCACCACCACCCACTGCAATTGTTCACACTGTGCCTCCTGTACAGAACCATCACCACCACCACCACCATCACCACCACCACCCGAATAACATCATGGTGAGAGCCTCCCTAATGTTTTCTTGCCTTTCTCTTTGCATCTGATCGAGATTTAGTGTTTTCCTATATACATGTATATGTATTTTATATAAAAATATTGTATAAATTGAGAATTTTATTCCTTAAATGTGCTTTAGAGAATTATAGTTGATATATGAATTATCTTGTAGTTTTTAGCATCATTGTTGATGGATGATATCTGTTCTATGAAGAATTTTTATACAAATATTTAATTTTTATTTTAATTAACTTTTTTATGTCTTAATTTTAATTTAAATGAGAATTTTTTTTTAGTACGCTGAATATTTATATGAGGTCACTGTTGTCACTTAGACAAACTTTGAATAGTATACATATATATATATTTTTTTATAATATTTCAATAGCATGTTTCAAGGTAGTAGTATATTTCTGATCGATCCTTATTTTAATCCCCATTAATCCTCAGTCATGAATCATTATTCATTTCTTGTCCTTTAAATCCACTGATATTGCTTATAATTTTTTTTTTAATATTGTGGGTGATTGATAAATTATAGTATATTATAGTATATTATAGTATATTATATTGCTCTGTAATGATTATGCAGTAGCTTGGTACTAATTTTATTGTCTTACGTTTTTTTTAATTTCCTCCTTTTTTAATAAAAAGAACTATTACAGATATATTTAGGATTTTATAAAATATTAAAATTATCTTTTTTTTATGTTTATCTTAAAAGTTAAAAATACAGTGTAAAAGATATAGTAAATAGATAGTATATAAAATATAATCTAAAGAAAAAAATGAAATAGGAATAGTATGATACTTTATTAAACTTTTTTTTTCTTTTTTAGAAAGGGATGTGATTTTGCTTTTTGTGTTTTTTAGAACTACAATGGATTTTTTAATATAATTATTATATTCATACACACAACATATATGCTCACAGAGAAAACATTCTAAATTTACTCAGGATTTTTTAATGCTAGATTCTTGAGATTATATAGAAACAAAAATTCTAATATCAAAATGTCAAAAGAATTTTTAAATGAAAAATATTACAAATTTACAATAAGGTTGCTCAAAGTTTAGCATCAGTTTTGAACGCTAGAATTTTAAATATTTCTCATTTGAAACAATATTAGATTATCATAGCCTTGATATTTTAATATTAAAATTTTTATTTTTTAATAATCTCAAGCATCCGGTATTAGGAAATAATGTATCAAATTCTTTATACTTAATACACATATTAAGTATTATTATTATATTTGGTTATATAAAATTATTGGAACTATTCAACACTTCGATATGCATGTGAAATCGCTGCATTAATCCTCGATGAGATTATGGTGTTTGTGGTGTTTTGTGTTTTGACCATGAATAAAATTTCTTTCATGTGAACTAATTGATACGCGTCTACACGCGTGCATATATACTAATATTATAAATTAATCTCTTTAAATTAATATATGGTGGTTGGTTATAATTGTTTCCAATTGTTTGCATATATACAAGATTTACAAAATCTTGCTAATGATTATTTAGTTATGTATCATTGTTATTTTTAAAGATGTATGCAAGATACAAATGTCGGTCAAAAATTTGAAATATATTTATTTTTATTTAATGGAAATAATATTGAAATTATAGAAAGTTAATATTTAATTTCTATTTTTCCTTGAATATTTTTCCAAATTTTTGACCGATGCTATCTATATATATATATGAATATTTTTTATTGGCTGATTGTAACTAGCGCTTTATATTTAATTGTGCTTTATAAGAGAAGGTCATTACATTTTAGAATCGATTTACTAGTAATATTTTATATCACATATGAATATAGTTATAAAAATATTTTTATAACTTATGAATATATATTTATATAATAAATTTTGTTAAAAATATTTATGCACAAGATTAAAATCAAATAAAATAATATGAATTTAATATTATTTAACAAAAATATTACAATATTAAAAAATTATAATTAAATTATTATTATAGTGATAATGTTTATATTTCCAATATTAAATCTAATTTTTTTATATATTCTAATTTTTTTATTGATACAATTGATTACCAATAAATGTAATGATCTTTTTTTTCAGAAATAACTTAAAAATTATATATAATTAATTTTTAATAGGAACAGGATAGATTATCAAATAGAGATCGATCTAGTAAATTGGCTGAGCAGGAAAAAAAATGGAAATGTCTTCAAGCTTCACATCAGCAACAAATGCAACATCAACAGCAGGGTATCTATAAATCATTTACATATTATATATAGCAATTTGGAACATTATTGATTCATTTTTTTTTCACTTATTATTTTTGTATTTTTATGTTTCCAGTAAAATTTCCAAAAAATTATCGATAAATTAATAAATTTTACTAAAAGATTTTATTAAAAAAATGCAAAATCTCAGTTTGTTAATTCTTAAGCTATTCTCAAGTAAATTAAAAACGAATTAAAAGAAGATTAAAAATTTTATTAAGCAGAATATAATAAATAATAAATTATATTTATATGTTTTTACTTAATATAATTAAAAAAAAACATATAAATTGCAATATATATTTTTGTTCTGTTAAAAGGAATTGCCAAAGTACAAAAGATGACTACCGAGGATAATACATCTCAATCAACTAGTGATACCACATCTGGATTGACGACACAGTTACAAGTTTCCACGGCGCAAGTAAGCAGTTTAATTTTTATTTAAATCATTTATATTTTAATAAAATATTTTAATTAAGAAAGTTTTATTAAATTATCTTAGAATAGAACATAATTTGTCACATGTGTTAAATGAAAATTATTATGCCAAATTTGAGCCGTCAATAAATATATACGATTAATTTATAAATTGTTTAAGAAAAACGGAAAATATGTATATAAAATAAAATTAGCCCAACATCAGTATATACTGATATCAATTAATATTAACTCTAAAATTTTGATGCAGGATACAAACCAATTGACTTCCCTGGCTTCTCCTTCGCCAGGTTCTCGCAGTACTTTTGCTACGCCTTCTCTCAAAGTTCCTCGCAGTCTTACACCTCAGTCTCCTCATCATCAAAATATGATACGTTTGCCTGTACAAGCTCCTTGTCGGGCGATACGTCCGGGCTTTCCTCAGCCTCCGTCTCCTTTCTCGCCGCAGGCACCACAATCACCTCATGATTTTCCTCAATCACCTGCATCCTCTCAGCCTTCTCAGGAATCACATTTCCAGCGTTTCGAGGGCAATGTTTCAACTCCCGCATCCCCCTATTCATCACCTCAGACATCAGGTACACCTCGTGCTCCTGTATTTAATCCCCCGCGACCTCCTGTTTATGCTCCTCCTCCTCCCCCTCCTCCCTCCCTCCTCCTCCTCCACCTCCACCTCCACCTCCACCTCCACCTCCACCTCCACCTCCACCTCCTCCTCCTCCTGCAACATCGCGAACTCCTGATCCTTACAGCCAGCCACCTGTCACTCCCACATCTGTCCCAGCTGCATCCAACTATTCATCGCCTAGAGGTTCCGAGACCCCTCGAATACCTCAAGAACAAGAGGCTTTCGGGCAACAACCAGAAATCAATAGACAATTGAGAGATTTATTGCAAAGGCAACAGTATAATAAAAAGGTTGAAGCAGTCGGCACCAATTGGATTCAAGGTATATTCTATTATTTTATTTCTATTATTTATAATATCCGTTAAAAGTTTTTGACCAAGTGTCGTATGTCCTTTTTACAAATATATATTATAAATGAATTTGTTACATTTATTAAATGTACTGTAAATATTGGCAAATCGGCAATGAACTAATAAATATGATAATACTGTAATAAATATGACTATTATTATCTAATATAATAAGTATCGATTGTATAAAGATTGATAAATATAAGATACAATCTTTTAGAAACTTTAAAATTACATTGTCAAACATTTTAACATTTGTGCGATTTAGATGGACAGAATAATACGGGGAACAATCAGCAACACTTTGAAACAAATCACATGCAGCTTCAACAACATTCTCAAGTACAAAACAATTCCGGTGAAGGAACTTTTAGACATCCGCTTCCACCAGGCATCGTTAGACCCAGAATGCCTATTCAACCGAACGTTTTAATAAGGAACTCCATTGGTATGCAATTTTTTTAATTGTAATTTAAAAAAATATTTAATATATTATCTTATATAGTCTATAGTATAGTGTAATATTATCTTATATATTATATTTAATATTATATCTTATATTTAATATATTATCTTATATGCGCGCGCGCGCGCGCGCGCGCACACACACACACACACACACACACACACACACACACACACACACACACACATAATCTTCTGTTTAATATTAATTTTTTACGTAATATTTACAATATTTTTATATAATATATTTAAATATTTTCACAAAATTAATTTATTATATCTATTTTTCTCTTTTATATCAAATTTTTTATTTTTTATGTAAAATTTTCATGAATTATATGAATTCAGGAATAAATTCGCGACATCCTGTAGCAGGAAATATTCAGAATCCAATTGACCCTCGTACGAGGATGCTGCTGCAGAGTAGGCCCCAAGTAGCCAGCAATATACCTGTTCAACATTTCTCGGGAACTCAAGGTCTCCAAACACGAATGCCAACAGTAAGAAATGTCATTTCTGAATCTTATGACATTTTGCAGCAACAAAGATTTACAGGTAACTTAAAATAATTTTTAAAAACATCCACTCAAATATTTCAAAAACAATATTTTCGAAAAAACTAATACAGACATTTCTTGTATATTTTATTAAAAAATTTTTAAATAAATGTTAAAGGTATATATTATTTTTTATGTTATTTTATGACATGGAAAAGAGTTATACTAATATATAAATCTAGACAAAACTTTTAACAAAATGAAAAAATATTTTTTAGATACAAATCAGATGCAGAATCAGCGCATTGCACGGACAGCGCAGGACAATCTAAATCAAGGTATTCGCATGTTGAGCACAGCTCCAGGGATAGTCCGAACACCACTCATTCCTACGACGATTGGCGAAACCACCGGAGTAGTTACTTCGGAAGCATCTGAAATTCCTGACAATGTAACAGCTGAATTGGAAAAGTTGGAACAGGAAGGAGCTGGACAAATGGTTGAAGTCGAAGGGGTCAGTGCAATATTAGGAGATCTAGCAGATGATGATGACGAATTGCTTGGTAAGTCAATGCATGCGCATTGCACAATAAGAATAAAAATTAATGAATTTTGACTTTAAAATTAAAGAAAAAATTATATAAATCACTTTTAAAGAAAAAGTGTTATTATCATTTTTTTAATATAAATTATTTATATTATTATCGAATTAAAAGTTAAAAAATTAAAAATTTATTTTTTTTAAGCTGAAATGGGAGCGGACTTTAATATCTTGGAGTATGCGGATCCTGAATTGGATACAATCACGGGTGTAGAAAAAACTAATATTCTGGTCGATCTGGCGCAAGATCTCGAGCAAGTTGAAGTTGATTCTAAAGATGATAAACAAAAAAAGGAAACTAGAGATGAAGATCAAAAATCAGAATTAACTGGTCCACCCTCTGAAATTGCTGATTCCTGTTCGACGAATACCAATTTAACTTTGGCAGAAAATTCTAATGTGCCGACAATGACATCACCACAAGCGATATCACAGGCAATGCAGGCGCAAGTGCTACAACAGCAGATGCATCAACAAGTTCAACAAGCGGCAGCGATGGGTCGGCCAATGCCACCAGGAACAAAATTAGTAGCGCCAGATGGAACGATCGGAGTAGTAACTTCTACAAATACGGTAACTGTGAGTTATTCATCGAGTTTTCCTGGACATCCGCAGAGACTTCCGCAGACACATATACAAGGTAACAAAAAATTATTTTAAAAAATTAAAAATTTTTACTCTTATTATAGTCTCTTATTATAGTTTAAAATGTTTATTCTTATTATAGTCTCACAACAACAACGGCTAGGTATGCGAGTAGCGGCAGGAATGTCAAATATGGCAAGCAGAATAGTTGGTGTAAATCACATGATCGGTCCCCGAATGCCTTTGGCTCCACCACCGCCGCCGCCACCGCCTCCTTATCCAGGACCACCACCGCCATATCCTGGACCGATACAGGTAAGTGTTAATGTCTATATTAATTATTTTTTTGGGAAATTTATGTATTGCTTTGATATTGAATATTTTTACATAATTGTGATAGGATTAAAAGGATAATTTAAAGTAAAGGGACTAAGGAAATTTTAAATTGGCAAATTAAATATATTAGCATGACGTTCTTGTTGGAAACATTTTCTGGTAACTGCTCGTATGACAGATAATTTAAGTTACAAAAGTAAATGCCTTATTTTGCGTGTGTATGCGTGTGCATATGTGTGTGCGTGTGTGCGAGCTTAACAAATATTTATATAAGAAATATCATTCTCAACATTTTGTAACTAAGAGAGACAATATATTGATAATCTTAATAATAGGTTATTAACATTAATAATCTGCATAAAAGTGTTGATAATATAATTAATTATATAACAGGTTTGCTAGCGTTTTACATTACATAATTAATAAAACCTTTCATGATTGCATGTATAATATATGTATCAGTCAGTTTCGCACATTTGCTAAATTTATTTCAAAAATATTTTGCGCGGCAATGCAATTTCAGATACTCAAGTAATTTTGCATAGTTTGCTCAGCTGCAATTATAAAATAATAGGTTCCTTTAGAAAATATATTAAAAAATGTTTTTGTTATCTTATTTAATAAAACGCATTATTTATAAAACTTATTTTTAAAAGAATATGTTATGAAATAATTTTTAACAATTTTTAACAACGAGAATAAATAGTAAAAAAATTATTTAATGAAATAGAAAAAGGTTTACAAAAATTATTCAATTAGTATATTTTTATTAGATTATATTCAAATGATAATGAATTTAATTTATGATAAAATAATATTTTATTATAAAATGTGTCTAATTTAATCAGAAAGCAAAACTCTAAGCCATTAAAATTTGCTATGATTATAGGTATAACTAAATAATAGATATACTTTCAATGCCAAAAACATTTTCTGTGATAAGATATTTAAAATAATTACCAATATATATTACTAATTGAATCAACACCTTATTATCTAAATATATTTTTAAGTTTAATATCTTTTATTTTTTTATAATTATAGTTTTTTTTTTTTTAAGAATTATAAGCATGAAAAATATGGAAAAAATTCTGAAGTACTTGGAATCTATATCGATTTGAAATCCAATAAATAATTGTTTTTTAGACGGATATTTTTAAAACCGTGATGAAAAATTTTTCTATTAAATTTAATTAATTAATTAAATTAATTAATTTAATTAAATTTAATTTATTTATATTGATAGAAATTTTATTTTATTTTTTTGTCATATTTTTTAATTATGTAATTTTAATTTTGTTAATGTAAATCAGTATAAATCTAGAAAAACGATTAAATAGCAATGGAAAGGTTGTGGTAAGAAAACTGGCTGGTGTTTTTGGCCTGGGTGTGCAAGTTTTGCAATATGCATTTGGTGTTGGTGCATGTGTCTAGATGGGACTATGCCCGGGTGGTGGTGGTGGGCGAAGTATGACGCGGCCCTCGGTCCATATGACAGGGCATCAAGTACCGGTGGCAGGTCCGTCAATGGGCCCCGTAGTGCCGCATCCTCACCGGAGATCTTTGCTTCTGCAGGTGAGCGAGATTCGGGGCATTCTAACATTAAGAAAAATATAAATTCAAAATACAAACCTTAATTTTGTATTCTATATTTAGTACTATATTCATATACTTCATATGTTATACATATTATATAAATCATATAAATAAAGATAAATAATTAAAGATTAAATATTGATTATAAATGTCATTGAGAAGAGTTTAATTTTCATAAATTCATTATTCTATTATAAAATTAAAAAAATCTGACATATTTTTATATCTTTCTTCTTTATTTAATCTATTACGAATTTTTGCCTTGTATGTTTGCATCCATACTGCACGATATTAATTTTATTGATATTAACCAAATCAATGTTTTATTACATTTTATTAATTATAATTCTTTCTTATCTTAAAATAATGTAACTTAGAATATTGCTTCTTTATAATCAATGCATCAATATGAAATTGTTTCGCATGTATATGTATACATATTATTGCTTTGGATATTATTGCTTTAAACTTTTCTTTTCTTATTCTTTATATATTTATAGAAGTTATAAAAAAAATCCGCGCGCGCGTGTTATTAAAAATATCATATAAATTCCAATTTGCAACACAAAATTTTTATAACACATTTTGCCTATGTTTGGTTTTTCTTGCATACATAATGCACTTTAACTGCTCACATACATACTTGTAATTTTAGTTGATTTTGCGATTTGATATTTAATCTTAATGCAATTGCAATTTTAATCTTTAGATTTTCAAAGTAGCACTTCTTGTATCAAAAATCGACCTTGACTGTCAGCAGTCGTGTTCACAGGAGCAGCCATTATTGCTGGAGGAGCTATTAGAGCAGGAGAAACGGGAACAAGAAAAGCAACACCAGCAACAGCAACAACAGCAACATCAACAACAGTCTGAAAATGTTGCCGGAGGAACTCTTTTGAGCGACAGCGATTTTGAAAAAATTAAAGCTGATGTTTTGGGTAACACATCGCCTCCTCAAGGCATGGTGACTGTAATAAGGCCACCTTGCACGGCACGATCACCTTCTGCATCTAATACTAATTGGCAGCAAAATAGTGCAGCTTCTGATGGGGCAGCAAAACTAGCGGCGGTACAGGTGGGATCAAGACAACCCATTGCTACACAGACTCCGCCAGAACGTTAGTGAACATCTAATATATTTTTTAATTAGATAGTCTTTTTACTGATTAATTTTATTACAGAAAATTAAATTTATCATAGTAAATAATTTTACTAAAATAAAAAAATAATTTAATTTCTTTAATAATATCTTAATAATATTTAATACTAACGATTTTACTTAATATTTTATTTGATATTTATGTGTAATGAAAGAATTATATAGACAGATTTTCTTCAAGTATATTTTTTCATATATAATAATAGTTTAAGTTAAGTTTAATACTAGTTTAAATTTATTTTATATGATTATCATTTTAGCAAGAGTAGCTACGTTCAATATTTCTCAAAAACCAGCACCTCCGGCTCCACCAGAAAATATAGTTAATGAGCAGGATCGGCAAGCAGCACTGCAATATGAGCAGTGGCTTAATCACCAGCACCAGATATTATCACAACAATTAAAATATTATGAAGTAGAAGTTCAAAAACTTCGCAAGATAAGAAAGGTAAATAAAAACACATGAATATTATATTCACTATAAAATCAATTGAATATTATATTTTATTAAAACATTTTCGTTTTTGTAATTATCTTAAGCCTAATATTAATTCTTAAATTTTAGTTTATCTTATATTTTTATTATTTGAAATTTTATATTTTATAATTTCTATATATCTTTGTATTTTATTTCCTTTTTAGTCTCTCAATAGTAAGCAACGTCAACTTCGCAAATCTGGTAATGAGCTAACAGAGACCGACGCTGCCGAGCTACAACGGATTTCTAATGAACAAGCTATTCTTCAAAAACATTTAGATACTTCGCGTAAACAACTCCGTCAACACGGCATAGTGATTCAAGAGTATCAAAACAAACAACAACAACGACAAACTCAATCTCAATCAAATGAACCCTGTTCTCCATTAATGTCACCTTCTCAACATTCTCCAATGCATTCTCCAGCAGCATTGGTTTCTCAAAGTCCAGGTCCTAGTATGATTCAACATTCACCAGCTACTCCATCAATTGTTCAACATAGTCCAGGTACTCCGTTGCTTCAACATAGTCCAGGAAACCCTCAATCAACCAATCCAGGTACAATGTCACCTCATAATGTTCAACAACAATCGCCAAGAATTGGCACTCCTCATTCTCAAAGTGATGAAAGTCCCTTTAGTCCTGGACCAATGCCTTCTCCAGGTCTATGTAATCCTAACACTACACGAATGACTTCACCACAACATAGAGCCATTATTGGCGGAAGATTGGCAACTTCTCCTGGTGCTTTTACACCAGAGCCACGAAATCAGCAAATGATAAATGAACAGAATGTAAGAGTTCATGGTTTAGTTCAGAGATTTGTTAGGCCACCAGAACAGGCGCAGAGAAGAGGAGGTATTGTCTACAATCCACAATTAGGCCAACCACAGTTACTAAGTCAACAGCAGCATCAGCAATTGTTGCAGAGGCAGCAGCTTATTCAGCAACAGCATGAAAATATTCCTCAGGATCAAGTTCAAGGTACTATTGTTCGAGGCACACTACAAAGGCAACAAGTTTTTCAGCAACATGAAGGTGTTTCTCGACAACAAATTCTTCAGCAACAGCAGCAACAAAATGATATTTCTCAAGATGGACAGAATATTATAACTCAAAGAAATTTGCAAATTGCTCAAAGACAGATTCTTCAGCAGCAGCAGCAGCAGCAAGCTGATATTATGTCTCAAGAGGGACAAAATGTTGTTACTCAAAGAAGTTTACAAATGGCTCGGCAACAAATTATTCAACAGCAACAGCAACAAGAAAGCATTTCTCAAGAGGGACAAAATATTGTTCAAAGATCATTGCAATTGACTCAGCAACAACAGCAAATGCTTCAGCAACAACAAATTCTTCAACAATCCGAAGGTATTTCTCAAGAGGGACAGAATTCTATTAATCAAAGATCATTGCAAACGGCATCACAACAGCAACGACAACAAATTCTTCCACAGCAAACTGATATTATTTCTCAAGAAAGTCACAATGTTGTTACTACTCAAAGAAATTTGCAAATGGTACAGAAACGACAAATTCTTCAACATGAAGTTGTTTCTCAAAATATTTCTCAAGATGGACAAAATTCTATTAATCAAAGAACATTGCAGATGGCTCAGCGACAGCAAATTCTTCAGCAACAACAACATCAACAGGAAGGTATTTCTCAGGATGGGCAAAATATTGCTGTTCAAAGGAATTTGCAATTAACACAACAACGACAGCAACATGAAAATGTCTCACAGAATATTTCTCAAGAAATTGGACAAAATGTTGTTCAAAGAACATTACAAATGGCTCAACAGCGCCAACAAATCCTGCAGCATCAGCAACATGAAGGTATTTCTCAAGATGGACAGAATACTATTGTTCAAAGAAACATACAAATAGCGCAACAGAGGCAACAAATTCTTCATCAAAAACAACAACAGCAACATGAAGATCTTCCTCAAGATGGACAAAGCACTATTTCTCAAAGATCATTACAATTAATTCAACGATCACAAATTTTACAGCAACAACAGCATGAAGCTGTTTCTCAAGAAGGACAAACTTCTATTGCTCAAAGATCTTTACAATTGGTACAACAACGTCAACAACAAATTCTTCATCAACAACAACAGCAACATGAAGTTATTCCTCAAGAAGGACAGACTCCAATTGCTCAGAGATCACTTCAGATGCCTCAGCAACGTCAACAAATCCTTCAACAGCAACCTGAAGGGATTTCTCAAGGGATTTCTCAGGAAGGACAAAATACTATTGGTCCAAGGTCGCTTCAAATGGCTCAACATCGGCAGCATATTTTCCAGCAACAGCAACGTCAATTTTTGCAAATGCAACAACAACAACAACAACAACAACAACAGAAACCACCCAACTCGCCAATGGTGTCTCAACCATCAAATTCTCCAAGTCCTCAGCTTCATCAGCAACTTCAACAAGGTTACGGCCAACCTCCAAGTTCACCCATGATGCAACAAACAACGATGGGTTCTCCGATGCTTCAACAGCAATTAAATCCGACTTCACAACCTCCTAGTCCAATGAACAGGATTTCACCAATGCTTCATAGTAGTCATCATCATTCTTCAACAAATAATCAACCACCCAGCTCTCCTATGATGCCTAGAAGTCCCTTGGTAGCTGGATCTCCTATGCAGATGCAGCGAAGACAATCTACCGGAAATAGTCCGGCTATGCCAGACAGACCTCAGAGCGTAGAAAACCCTGGAACTCCAAGAACACCACACACACCTCATAGTTTTGTTCAACAAAATGCTAATTTAACTGTAACAACAAATGATCAACAGCAAATGTCTCAGCAAATTTCTCAGCAAGTTTGTCACGAACAAGCTCCTTTGTCAGATAATCTTTCTAGAGGCGGAGGAAATTCTAATAATCCTTTAAATCCAATTCCTTTTCTCAAGAAACCTGAATACTATAAATTAGGATTAAGGGGTGGTTCTTCAAGTGATCAGCAACAAATTCCTCAAAAAGTTTTTCAGAAACAAGATTTTTCACCTTCAGAAAATTCCACAAAGAATGGAGAAAATTTTAACAAATCTGCAAAGCCATTGCGATTTCCTAATTTTGGACGATTTGGTTGGTTCAAATTAGGTTTAAGAGGAGGCTCGCCAATGTGGTCAAGCAAAACAGAAAGTAGTAAAGGCGGTAAAGGAGCAGAAACGTCTCAGACGAAAAGAGATCAATCTGTAGAAGAGAAAACAAATATTTCTACGAATCGAAAAACTGCCAGAATCAGCTCGTTAGTCTGCGTTGATTACAATGACTTTGATGATGATTCACATACACCACCGCAAGCTTCTCCAACAACTTTGGAAGTAAAATCAGCTGTTCAAGGTTCTTCTTTAACATCTTCAACATTGGATAATGGATCTTTAAATTTGGAAAGTCCTGGAGAAAAATTGGAACAACTCCCAGATACGACAGATTATGATGATGACAAAACTATAGTTAATACTGAGGTAACTTTGAGTTCTACAGCTCAGCGAGATAGTGACGATATCACTGTGATTGAACAATTTGGTGACTCAGAATTGGTTGATGTTATCTCGGGTACTTTAGAGGGTGATATGCAGGAAGAATATGTTCTTTTTGAGCCTGGAATGGTAGTGGATCTGTCTGCTGATAGTAATGATTCACTTTGTCATGCTCTAGTAAATGATGCTGGTCCAGGTCATGACTTGGTACAAATTTTAGAGATTGATAATTCTGAATCACAATCAGAAGAACCGATTTTGAGTGATGAAGATCTAGTCCCATCTCATTCGAGAAATAAAAAAGGCCTTAGACTTGATATAGTGAGGACCTTGCAATCTAGGAAAAAAATTAGTAACTGTAACCGACACTCCAGAGTCTCCAGATCAGGAAGAACTTCGAATTGATCCTTCTCCAGGTCCTTATTTGGATCAGTCTCCTGATCAAGAACTTATGGTATCTTTAGTAAGTGAATCTGAAGTAGTTATTATCGATCCTACGACGAAATCTCCTGAAGATAATCTTTCTAAAGGCTCTTGCGACGAAGAGACTGACAAAGCTGACATCAATGTACAAACTAATGTTTCTAAGGAAAATACATTTAGTGAAGGATCAACGGATGATCAAATCAAATCTACAAACCAAAATAAGAGTCCCACAAATTTTATTTTTTCAACTAAATCTTATACTAAAGTTTCAACTTCAACGGTGCATCCAACAAATATTAATGTAACAATCTCAAAATCGGCAGTTTCTTTAACAAATACTGTAATTTCTTTAAATTCAACTCCGAATCTAACTTCTATAAGTTCCAATCCTCAAGTAAATCAAGTCTCGGTTCAGCCAATTACGGCAGAAATTAAAACAGCGGATCAGTTTGACTTGAAAGAAGTTTCTTCGAGCTCTTTCAGCAATCAGAAAGGCATTACTTTATCGACAATGGCAAGCATTGTGGCAGATGCAAAAATTGCTGCAAAACTTAGTCAAACTGCTTTGGAGAACATCTCTAATTCTCAGAAAGACAAATCGAACCCGAGAATTACCTCTGTAAATGAGATACCGAAAATGTTATTTTCCGAGAAACCTTCGACAACTTTTTCGAATTTGCCAAATACAATGGAACGTCTGAACAATCCGACGAAATTAATTCTAAGCGTACAATCAACTTCCGTGACTCTGTCAACTCCAAAAATGTCAATTCCAGATCTATCGAAAAAAGATACCACCTTAAAGAGCAAAGAGAAATTAATAGAAAATCAAGAAGGCGAAATCAAGAAGCAAGAAGAAGAGATTTATGACAAAATTAAAAACGAAAGCGATGTTTCGGATACATCAAATATTTTTTCAATTACCGAAGAGAAGAAAAGTGATCCATTAAATACTACAGACGAACTGGAGAGTATGTTAGAAGCCATTCACAATCCTGAAGAAAATGTTGAAAATAAAAATGATATGCCAACGACAACTTTGAAAAGAATGTCGCCTGTTACTGATGATTTATCACTTGTCAATATTCTGGAAAACGACACTGAACCGGTGGAAAATGATAAAGAACAGATTTCAGATTCAGATACACAAAAAACGGTCAAATTGGAAGAAATCCAGAAGAACATTGAAGAGACTAATAATGACAAAAACACACTTTCAAGTGAAAAGAATCGTCAAGAAGAACTGTGTACTGAAACGGAAAATTCTAAACAATTTCTCCAACATTGTTTGAGCGAAGAAAAAACCTTGATGGAAGAATCTTCTGATGATATTTTAGATATGTTACACAACATTATTTCATCGAAACCAGAAATGGCAAACAGTAGCGAACTAAAATCGAGTCTTATTTATCAGATGCCAACTCCATTAGATACTTTACCCTTGAATATTCTTCAGGATTCGTTAATGGATTTAGAACAAGAAAATCTTGAAAATGATCAAATTTCTTCAACCGAAGTTAAAAATGAAGTAAAAAGTCAAACTGCAGAAATAAAGAAAACTTCTCCAACGACAAATCAAACTTCTACTTTGGTAGTCAATACTGTGGCGCAATTGCAAAAAAGCACAACAACAATTCCTCACTTATCACCTCTTTCGAAGCCAACAGAATTAACTTCCAATGTAGATAATGGGTCCCATCAACTGAGGATATTATTATCATCTGTACAAAGCAATCAGACAACAGTGAATCAAACAGGAATGGTGACCATGGTCTCTTCAGGGAAGTCTGGAAGCGTTTTGTCTACTTCTAGTCCTCTGTCGACATTAAATTCATCAAATAATGTTCAAGGAGGAGTTTCGACTTTAACAAGATTAGATCAAAGCCGTTCTCAACCTAGTCTGACCAGCAGTATTACAAACGATTCATGTGAATTGGCCATGAAAGAAAAGAAAGAATTAAAAGAATGTAGCGGAGTTATTACTACAATTTCGAAGGTTAGTAACGAGCAGATATTCAGGGTCACTTCTTCAGCAACAACTTTTCAGACCACTACAGTTTCTAGCTCTCTTGCATGTACCTCTTCGACTGTAATTACTTCTAAAACCGTTGCGACTTCTATTTCTATCACTTCGAATGCCATGTTGAATGCTATGCTGGCCAGTACTACTTCCTTGACATCTTCAATTGCTGGCCACAATCGAAGTAATACAGTATCAACCCAGTCTGCTAATATCTCAAGTTCTGTTTTGCCATCAACTTCAATACAAAATCGTTCGCAAAATCTTCAGGCAATCCTCCAGGTCAATTCAGGATGTTCTACACCTTCGCGAGTATTGGTAAATACCAGTTCGGCTGTAACCACTTCAATGCACTGCATTAGGACCATTGTGCCACCTTTGGTAACTTCTAGTGGAGTTTCAAGTACAAGTATTCTTCAATCAACTTTATCGCAAGCTCCAAGTCATCTTTTGACGTCTAATCAAAACCAGTTCAAATCTTCTGGTCTACTACCGATGGACAATAAAAATAATGATCTTGAAAATCAATCTACGACAATGAAAAAAGATTCTGAAGAATCCAAAGAAAAGAAAGAAATAGATTCTAGCAAGAATTCTTCTAATTCTTTAAGATTAGAGGACTCCCAAAATGTATTATTGAAACAACTACTGCAGAACACAGCATGCTCTACGACTTCGGGGACAACTTCGGGAACGACCTCGGGGACAACTTCGGGGACGACTTCGCAAAAGTCCATTCTGCCTGTAGGTCTGTCGCTGGAAGCACAATTAGCCCGACCAATTTTACTTAAACCATCTGTGCATCCCAAGATGCATAATTTGATAAACGAAACACCGAAACCACCGAAACCAATTGCAACCAATACTAAACAAGTTCTTACAAGGGAAACTTCCTTCTTGTCGCACTCAGTAACACCTTTAAAGATTCAAAGTTCACCAACCAAGGAGGATTCTTTTAAACCTTCTACTTCTTCACTATCTAGTTCGGCTGCGACACAAAGAACACAAACTGAAAGCTTAAAGCAACAAGTAATAAAATCAGTTCCTGCTTCTTCACCAAGTCCTTCGGGAACTTCATCATCAAGTCAACAACCAGTTTCTTCGACAATAACAACCACAAAAATATCTTCTCCGAGCACTTCTACGAGTCAACAAGAAATTTCTGAAAGTCAGAGCAAATCGGGAACTAGTATCGGCGAAGGGTCTCAGACTCAATGCGTTGCTGTTTCCATTTCGAAAGTCAGTTTGCAGAATAAACCGTTGGTGACCTCTGGAATAGCCTCAAAGAGCGTCCAACTAACAACTAATAGCTCCAGTAACGTGTCTGGACCACAACCTCAAGTTCAACAGATCCAAAATCAGACTCAAATCGCACAAAAGCCAATAGTGACCCAACAACAAATTTCTTCTTCTCCGACTACATCTATTCAGCAACAATCTGTACAGCAACAAGTGCCTCAAAGCCATGTGGCTGTCGCGGGCCCACCACAGGCCATTATGGGGTCCGTTGCCCCATCGGGTTCCAATACAGTGCCTTTAGTCGAGGTGAAGAAGGAAATTGGTCTTGAGGAAGTTTTGTCCGCTTCAAGCGGATCAACATCAGCCAATCAGTTGCAGACCGATACTAAAGATTTTCTTACTTCCAAGGAGGAGTTCATAGACGGCACAATGGATGATAAAACTGGTAAATAATATTTATCAATACAATAGGTTTTTTAAAATGTATTACGTATTTTTATTTTTACATTTACTTATATTCATGTTTTTATTTTAATTTATTTATTTAGGATTTTGTGTGTGTGTGTGTGTGTGTGTGTGTGTGTGTGTGTGTGTGTGTGTGTGTGTGTGTGTGTAGATTATTTTACATATGAAAATATATATATGAAACAACTAAGGTTTTATTAAATCAAATTTATAGCAATTAATTATGTCTGAAATGCTTCAGATCTCAAAAAGCTAAAGAGAAGACAGTATCAACAGAAAAGAAAGCAGAGCCAGGGGAAAGATGCTGCAACTGCACCTCAGAAAAAACGTTCTCGTAAAGTTTCGCGCCTTGATGAGGATTATGACACATTTGTGGACAATTTGATGGCTCAGTTGCGACAACTTCAGCCGATGGCAGTTCTGGAACCCCATCTAAGTCGTAATTATGGAGTATGTCCAATTTTTGGTTGCGGAGATCTTGCTAAAATTGGAAATCAGAAAGATTACAACGCTAGAATTGGTGAATTGATTGGTAATTATGGATCAGCCAGTTTACCTGGAATTTCTGATCACTATAATACACAACCGTTTGGAGAATTAGAACCTTTGCCACCTCAACAACCCTTGACTACGCAGAGAGGATTTTATGATCAAGAATTTCCACCTTTAAAATTGGATGATAGTGAGTAATTATTCATAGAAATAAAATATTTAAAATCTTTATACAGAAGTGTTAAATAAAAATGTTTTTTTAGCTGATGATAAAAAAGAAAATATGATAACGAATCGTGATGTGGACTCTCCTGACACAATTGTGAGTTCATCTTCACCTGAATGTGTTATACCTGAATTCATGCGTTTCCCTGGATTACGATTGATTGAAGAAGACTCAGATGAAGAGACAGAATGGTTGAAACGTGTGTCACCCGTTATACCTTTGATTTCGCCAATTCCAATTAGACTAAAACCTACTTATCCGAAAGATGCAGCTAAACAGGATAAAGAAAATCTTGGAATGCCTAAGTATATATTTGTTTTTATTTGTTGTCATATTTATTACATTATTTATTTTTATTATTATGTATGTTTTTTTTGTTTATATTATTATAATTCTTCAGGTTGGGCAAGTCTCCTCCAATTCCTTTACGAGAAAATGGAAATGTTACCGTGACTTTAACTTTGAATAGTCAGGCTGCCGATGATATAATGGGTGTACTTAAAGATCTTGCTAATATTTTGAACATAACACCACCTGCAGGTTATCAAATAGTCGAACGCACTACTACTCCTCCCAGTCAGAAATTAGGGTTGTACAGGACAAAAGGAAAGGACGGCAAAGAGGGTAGTACGTAATTAATAGAATAATTATCTCATAAAAGATTTTTATTGATGAAACGTAATACATGCGTATGTACATAGGGTATCATTAATCATTTAAAAAATATAATAAATATCTCTATTGTTTTTAATAATACAAAAGATATTAACAGGAAAATTATTCGTTTTGAAGGAATAAATGTGCTAGACAGAATTTTTTAATGCCTATATATTTACAAGATTTCGAGATTATCATTTTTTTTAACTGGGATGATATATTTTTATTAATGTAATAATGTAGTTCATAAAAAAACAAATTTAATCATATAGAATATTGATCTTAAGATGACATTAAACATAAAAAATCATATTTAAATCGATAACGTTTTTTTAAATGATTGAGTTACAGGAAATATTGTACGTGCGTGCGCACAGGTATATAAAACATGTTACAAATCTAAAATTAATACGAGAAACAAATCATAATAATATAGTAAATAAAATATAATAAATAGACAAAATATAATAAACAGATAAAATATAGAAATTTTTTGCTTAATAATAAAAAAAATAATGTTTTAAAATATGTTAATTTTTCTTTCAGCTCCAATCGATATACAAAGTATTTTGAACGGTGCGGCCAAGTTCTGTCGTCATTGTGATGTTGTAATTCTTAACAGTCTAATTCGAAAAAAAGTATCGGATTTGCCATTTTTGAGCAAAGAAGAAGCCGAACCGGGTGATGAACTTTGTTTCTGTTCAGCAGCTTGTTATATGCAATTTGCTCTCATGCATCGAACACCCTCCAATACTCAGGATAAGGTTTATAAGAAATTTTTTTACTTTTACAAATTCTATAAGCAATAGAAAAAAAGCATTTTGTATGAAAATTTTAGATAGGTATATACAATACAATATGTATATATAATACATATGTATGCACACACACGCGCGCGCGCATACATACACACGCACACACATACATACACACACATATATATATATATATAT